GGGCGTTGGCATCCCTCACGCGGGATGGAGCCACTGCAGCGGGGCGTGGTCCGAACAGAGGGTGAACTGGCGTCCCAGGAGGTAGTACCGCAGGGAGTCGACCACCCACCGGATGGCCAGGCACTCTTTCTCCACCGTACTGTACCTGGTCTCTCTCTCCGGTCAGGCCGGGTGGATTGGTACTCTGTTGAAAGGCAGGATCTCGCAGGGTCGGCAGGGGCCCAGCCACGATGGGCTGCGGGGCCCTCCTTCGTGGTGCGGGGACGGGCCGCGGTGATGTGGCCGGCCGACCGCCCTCTCCTTGCCCGCCGGAGTGAACCGCCAGGTGGTCCTCCGCGACGGTGACGGCGGCCTCCAACTTACCCGGCCGGTGGTGCCGGACCCAGGCCGCGGCCCGCGGCGGCAGGCCCTCCAGTGTTCCACCACCACCTTCTCCACCATCGCCGGCGCTCCTCCCGCGCCCTCCGGCTGCAGCCACCTGTTGGCCGCGTCTCGGAGTCTCTGTGCGAACGCGAATGGGCGGTCCCCCGGCCCCAGCCTCACCTCCCAGAAACTGTCTCCTGTGGTCCTCGGGGGAGAGCCCCAGCCGGTCCATGATGGCTCTTTTCACATCGTTGTAGACGTGCCTGGACCCGGGTGGCAGACCAAGGGCTGCTGTCTGTGCCTCCCCGGTCAGGAGCGGCCACAGGCGGATCGCCCACTCGTCCCCCGGCCACGCACACGCCCCCGCCATCGCCTCAAACATTTCCGAAAACGACTGTACCCAACCTACCCGACTGTAACTATCAAATCCAACCTTCCTACAACAGTGATCATAGAAAAATTCTACTTCACACCAGTGTAACATCGTTGAACAGGATTTAATGTTTGCAAACAGGAGACAGAATTGAAACACATACAAGTCATGTGTCAAGGCTACTCAATGGTCTTCAGCTTCGGAGCGCGAATATATGGAAGGAAGATAAACATGCTAAAACGACGATGGGGGGCGGTGGGCAGAAACCAAGTGCTGGTAGTCGACCTTCGATGTAGACGAGGAGTGGGAAATCGTTTCCCTGCTTCCTTCATCACGTGTAGCTCATTAAACACAAGCAGCTAGCAGGAGGCAACTTTATCACAGACTACAGGGGGAGTGAGTCACACCACAAAAACCACTCGCACACACACACACACAAACACAAATGTACCCACATGCATATACACACACAAATAAACTTTATGATGTATTCAGAAATAAAGTTTCTGCTTATGTGAAAAGTTAAAGCAATAGTTTTCAGAAAAACAAAGATGTCACACTGTGCACATTGGACAAATGTTTTAATACAACATGAAAGCAGACGATCTTTGTGTCGGAAGTTGTGTTGTTTATCTTGACACTTTGTTTCCATTTCGTGGTATAGTACAGTTATTCTTAACACAGGAAGCTTCAGAAACCATTTCCATGTTTCATCTTCATCCATTTAAGGCTTACTGATGTTCATAAATGAGGAACTGAGTTGAGAGTTTGCAAAAATGTCTTCTTCCTTTCTTTACTGAAGTGGATCACTAAGAGAACAGTCTCTGCACAGTGTGCATGTTTATACTGAATAAGGTTTGCCAGAAAGCTGCTGAGCGCTGAAGAGACATGGAAGCTGTGATCGGACTGTTTGTGATGATACTCGGAGCCTCTCACGGTGAGCTGTTTAAAAATGACACATTTCATGCAGGTGAATCAAATGTATACAATTTAAATAATTCCAATTAATGTTTTTTTGAAAGTTTCATGTAATATTTGAAAATCACTTCAACTTCATCACTAGAGCCTCTTTAGACTCACCAGTGCTTCAAGTTAGCAGACCCAAGGTCCTGGGGTGAAACTCTCCTCCAGATGTGGAGTCAGAGGAGCTTTTTACACAAAGAGAACCAGTAGCAAGAAGTTACATTACATTACAGGTCATTTAGCAGACGCTTTTATCCAAAGCGACTTACGTTACACTTTAAACCCATGGCTTTTTCACATTTTTGCCCAGGGAGAAATTAGGGGTTAGGTGTCTTGCTCAGGGACACTTCGACATGGAACATGGGGCAGCCTGGAATCGGACCAACAACCTTGTGCTTCCCAACACACCTTCTCTAAACCCTGCGCCACAACGAGTTAGTAGCAAATGGTGCAGTTTAGTTACAGCATTTTGTTGAAAAGAGTAATCCTAATAAATCAATCATGTCCCTGCTTCCTTGAACATGTGTAGCTCATTAAACACAAGCAGCTAGCAGGAGGCACATTTTCAGACTACAGGGGGAGTGAATCACACCCAAAACAACACATACACAAATACACACACACGCACAGACACATGAACACAAACGCACACACACAACTGGCATTTTTTAAAAGATGGATCCTATGCTACTGTGTTTAAATAATACCACCCTAGGGGCATGTTCGGAATATTTCTCTCCACTTTGGGATTAATTATAATAGTTAAAAAGTATATTTTAAACAAAAATAAAACCAGCAAAGCCAAATTGATGAAACGAAACACGTGATTCACTTCCACTAGCATCTTTCTTTAAGGCTGTAGAATAAATATTATTCATCATTTCCACGTTTTCATAATGTTGTCTGATAGAGACACAGCTGCACCAAACGCAGTATTGTTGCTTTAAATTAGCAAATGCCTAAAAATGTTTCATTTTTTCTTTGCAAAATGTTCAGGTGTGGAAACCCACTGTGACGGCCGACAGAACGGAGCTCAGTGTTTTGGGGTTTTGGGAGGAACTCTGGTCCTCCAGCTGATGGACAAAGACTCAGAAATTCAAACATACCAATGGATTAAGAATGGAACAACAATACTGAATATGAAAAACAATGCCATTGTGTATAATATGTTAAAAGACAGATCATTCTTTACTCCCAGTAATGGAACACTTAGGATCAATAACCTGAGCAGGGCTGATGGTGGTGAATATAAACTTGACCCCGTTGGTTCAGATGGAAAGTCATCAGGTTCCAGGGTTCAACAGTTGACCATTCAAGGTAAATAACTATTTATTACACGCATGTTATGCTCTACGTGCTCTATATCCGTATCAATGTCTGGGCTGCTCTGTATCAGGAACCCTACAGAATGATCAAGATTATGTCAATATGAAAAGTCATCCGAGTGTGTTTCCTTCAGCTCCTGTGTCCTCTGTCCTGCTGGTCCATGAGTGTCTGTCCCATGGAGAGAGGAAGGTGTCCTGCTCCTCTGGGGGAGCAGACAGTCCTCAGTACAGCTGGACTCTGGATGGAGACACTTTGACAGACTCTCAGCTCCTCGGTAGAAACAATGAGACGAACATCATCACTCTGAAACAACACGTCTCAGGACGACTGGTCTGCTCGGTCAGGAATGACGTCAGTAGTCACTCAAAAGAAGAGACGGTCTCTACCTGTGGTGAGTGACAGCATGAGGCGACAAAACGGTGACGTCAACAATACTAAACATTATCGGTACATCAGTTATTAGTCTCTGTCTCGCAGGCAAGGTTAATCTTCATTAACTGCACCTCCCCCAATGGGACGCACATATCACAGTGGGTGTTTGCACACAATAATACTCTGTGTATTGAGACAACAGCTTCCCCCACAAACACAGCATCGTTATTTTATGGTAAGGAAACTGGCATAACAGTGTCAATTAACCTCAACGGTAATCTCACGTCCCCAAAAAAGTAACATGAATAACATTCAAGTGAAAAACTAATTTAAGGGCTGTGCAGTTCTACTTGAGTTAACGTAACTCATGTGATGTACTTCACATTACATTACATGTCATTTAGCTGAGCCTTTTATCCAAAGCGACTTACAATAAGTGCATTCAATCATAGGGATACAAACTCAAGAAGAGCAAGAAACAACAAAGTGAAATTTCATCAAATAGGCTAATTTACAATTTGCTATGAAGAGGTGTGTCTTTAGTTTGCGGCGGAAGATGTGAAGGCTCTCTGTGGTCCTGGTGTCTTCAGAGAGCTCGTTCCACCATTTCGGATCACCGCTGATGCAGATCAGCAGTGAGTGCGGGTCGGGATGTAGGGTTTGACCATTTCCTGAATGTAGACTTTCTAGCTTTCCACCATTGTGGTCTCTCCTTCCCAGGAAACATCTGGCACATCTTGATCCCTGTCTGTTCAGTGGTGGCTGCTCTTCTGATGGTGGTTTTGTGTTGCTGCGTCTGCTGTAAAGTGAGGCGTCGTAGGAAGACAGGTAAGACTTCAAAAGCCTGTTTGCACCAGACGACTTTGCTGAAAGTGTCTTTTTGTTTTCATTCTGCTTTAACTGATAAATAATTATGTTCTTTTTTGTCCGTTATTCATCCTTAAGGTAAAAACACCTTGAATTTGGACATGAACTCACCGGACGATTAACAATGAACTGAGGGCTCAATGAACAGGACTTCTCACATTACTCTGACGTTATGAAAGTATTCTTTTGTATTTTGCTTCAATGTTGAAAAAAACATCATCAACATTGTGTGATCAGTGAAATGTCGACACGTCATGTTAATCTCAACAGCAGCACCACCTCTTTAATGATAAAATACTGATGCTTACAATTAAGACCCTTACAGTTGTTTTGAGGTCTTTAAGAACATCCTTTAATCCATCTCAAATAAAGTTAATTACTTCATCATTTGATTCAATAACAGTGGTCTCTCTGCATTGTTGTTGTTTGCTTATTTTGAGTTTTGGTGGTTTAATGTTCGCACAGTAGCCCTCCAAAATAAATGTGATTGACAATTAGAAAAAATATTCATCGATAAGGTTGTGACGGTTGCAACTTTTTACTTAGTGGTCGGATGTTACTGTAAAGTAAACGTTGAATTAAATGCTGCATATTGGATTAAGTTTCATCATTATCAACAGTTTAAATTACATTTACATTACATGTCATTTAGCTGATGCTTTTATCCAAAGCGACTTACAATAAGTGCATTCAACCATAGAGATACAAACTCAGATGAGCAGGAAACAACAAAATGCAATTTCATGTACAATTTAAGTGCTACAATTTGTTAGTCTTTTAGTCGAGGCAGTGTGTGAAGAGGTGGGTCTTTAGTTTGCGGCGGAAGATGTGACGGCTCTCTGCAGTCCTGGTGTCTTAAGAGAGCTCGAGAGTTTAGTATTTAATATACATTTTAATGTATTTGATATATTTATATTGGCCGGGCCCCCACGGAGTGCACCTCCTCACCACATCCGAAACATTTCATCGACAAGGATGTTGCAAATATCACGTACTCGTAATCATGTACCTTCACATGGAACCCGAGGTGGAGCTCCACACTGCGGTTCTTAAGGAACAGGTACAGGTGTCTGCGGTGAGACACCACGTGCTTCGGCAACTGAGACTTACATCCAGATGAGATCTTTTGGATCGGTGACACCAACGTTCCGTGTCCGGACAGCTCTCCGCTGAGGAGCTCGGCGGTGATGAACGGAGGGACGTTGGACGGAACCAACCCGGTTGCGTTCAGTGGCAACACCTGCACGAAGGCTCCTTTTTCCCTCACAGCCAGAAGAGACGTCCTGCGCGCTGTGGCCGGCCCTCATTTCCATGCCGTGCTTTCGCGTGAGGGACCGGGACAGATATTCTCTATTTACCGACCGGAGACACCGGCAGGAGAAAAACGCCCAATAAACCCACACCCAACTTCCGCCGAACCCAACTTGACGTGAACACACTACCACTAAACCACTTTAAAGCAATTAAAAAAAACTAGGGGAAAGAAAATAAAAGTCTAAAAACGACTCGCTCAGCAGCTAGGGTGGCCATTTCCTTCACGTCAAAAAGGAGGACACTAGTGATGGGGGTGAATGAGATGAATCTTTCTTCGTTTCTTAGTCATTTGTTGACGGGGGGGGTAAGATATTACCGACCGTTCAGTAAAAAAAAGAACTACACGAAAATGTAACCAATGAAATTACTTATTTTGACACACACATTTTTTGCCAATACGTATTAAACTAACGAGGTAATGTGTCAAAAGGCGGACCTTTTTAGTTATTTTCTCAAAAGGAGGACGAACGAGTGTCCAGCTTAAGGCTGCACCTGCAGCCGGACAGGGCATTTAAAAGCCGGACTGTCCGGCCTAAAGCCGGACGAATGGCCACCCTATCAGCAGCTCACTCAACGCAAAACCTCACTCCATCATGCACAGAGAGAGACAGAGAGAGAGAGACTGCTGCTGTTTTGCAATTTTCAATTTTGTAATCTTTGTTTTCTTTAGTTTTTCTTTCAACTACCCTCAGCTGTTTGTTTGCTCTGTTGCATTTGCTCTGTTGAACCAACTTGCGTGTCTTTTAGTGATTTGTGATTACCTTGGTTTTATTGTTTTTTCAAATAAAACCCTTTTCTTAAAATACAACAAAGATGTCCCTGCCTCATCCACAGTGACTTATTTGCGTGCATTGGGTATTTTAAAATCTTAAATCAGTATTTCTTAGGGTGTGAGTCACCGGGTGGCGTAGTTGGTAGTTGTTGGTAAATTCCTGTCACACAGAGATTACAGCAAGAATTTATTCCACTGCGGCCAAACAGCAGTGAGATATCGTAAGCATATTTGTGCACCATGGGGCAGCTTATAGTATTTTGTATTCATGCATCTGACAAAACTCACTTTTTTCACATGAATAAAAAGGAGGACATTTTGGTTGGTCTGATTGCAAAGACGTCAAGTGTACTGAGGAAACAGAAGCATTAAATAGACAATAATGAAGTCCAAGGCAGTAGAAGTTGGCTAAAATTTCTACTCCTTTTCTTACCTGAAGAGGATTACTAGGGTGAATTGGGACATGCAGTTCCTACACATGAACACAGGGGGAACATTACCATAGAAATGCATTTACGTATGTGCCTGCTAATGGGAACAGGGAGGATGGGAAGGAGAGAGTTTTTGACTGTGTTGTGCAACGAGGTGGCGTCTTATGCTGTGTGATGTGATGCAAGGAAATGGACATTGGTACTTGTCTGTGGACTTAAAGACACTCAGCGCCCTGGGCAGTGAATTTATTTGTGGCAGAACACGCGTCCGAAAATGTTTCCCCCCCAGTTCGCCGTATAGTGGCTTAACACATACAATGGAAATGTGTTAGGGCCTCTACACACAGGTTTCATCTTCATTAACTGCATCTCAACCAATGGGAGGCACATATCACACTGGTTGTTTGTAGCCAATGAAACTGTGCATTGAGCAAACATCTGGTAAGGTAATTGTTATCATTGTCAATTAACCCCTGCATCACACTGTGGCTCGGAACAGTGATACACACACACACACACACACACACACACACACACACACACACACACACACACACAAACACACACGCAAGCACACACACACGCAGTGAAACCGTCTCCTCTGCCTCTGAACCAAGTTGACATATGATTTTTTGTTGTGCAGATTCCTCCCTGCTCACGTGTGGAGTGCGAACTGCTGTGCTGTTTGTTGTTGTTGTGTTCAAAAATGAAGAAACGCCGGACGGACAGAGGTCATCGCTGATCAAAAGGTTAAAATCAAATGTATTTAATAAAGGAGATGAAGTTGTGGTAAAAAGAACATCTCAGCTGAGGAGCCGCTGGTCTCAGCAACCAACAGGCCCCAGGTCCGTCCTTTTGACCCCACCATAGTGCCCGTCTGTTGCCTCCACCAGCCAACTCGAGAACAATGGTTCCTACAGGTATTTATAACAATGGTTAAAGGTGTGAAAGTTAGTGCCCACACCTCTGGGAGTTGTTGTTCAAGTATTACATGCATGCATTCCAGTTGATTACATTACATCAAATACAATCATAACTGTACATTGGTATTATTCTATTACAGTTGCAGAATTACAGTGGTTTTACAATATTGTCATTACTTTATTGATTACACAGTTTCAGAATCATGGCTGTATTCTGGTGTGCAATATATGCATTTTTATTAATTTTATGAACCGGGTCGTATAGTTGTTTCTAATATCCTACATTGTCTTAATTGTGACGGCCTTTTATCCTTGGAGGAAAAACAAAAACAAGTTGGCTGAAGACTGTTGTCCATCGACGGGTTGAACATCAGGAGAACTCTGTTATGATGGTTGTGTTCTGATCTTTGACTTTGTGAATCCAGAGTCGTCTGACTCTTTTCACTCGGCCACGTCTCTGATTGGTGAGAGAGGGACGCTTTTCTTTTGATTAATTGTGGTACGGAGATCCTCTTGTTGTGAAGTGCACCGCTGCACATTTTAGAATACACAAGACCAATTTAAGATCCTTCATCAAATATTTGATGGGAAAACACTGAATACCTAATAACAGCTGTGAAAATGAATATGGATTGTTGTAGATAAAATAAATAATGGAATCGTAAAATCAGTACTTTTACAAGGAAATGCAATTTGATATTACTGTTTGTTT